GCAATATACAAGCGGAGGGAGGTTGGCAGAGGAAAGATGGGGGTGGTGGGAGACACAGGGAGGAATGCAGTAGATGGAATGAACATAGAGAAGTAAATGCTGTGAACTGTTGGTGCATGGAAGGATTGCAACCATGTAACGAAACAAAGTATATGATTTGTTGAATGTAAAGCTGATGATCTGCTCTGTAAACTTCCACTCAATTTTCAATAAAAAGTTAACAACAACAAAAAGCAACAAGGAGAGAAACTGAAACTGAATGAGGGAAAGGAAAATTTTTCTATACCTCCTCTTCACACATTGACTATATTGTTACCACACATCTCACATTTACAATACGAATAAAAAATTTACTATCGTGCACATTAATGATGCACATCTGGCAGTAAAGAATGTCAAATGATAGATGAGAGTAAAGCTGCCTTTCATGGTCAGGGTACATGTCACTTGGCTGGGCCATGATTACCAGCGGTTTGTCAGTTAAGTAATGATGTACTGTGGCAGTTATGTAATGACGCTATTATTCCCCATCTTGTGATCCGGAATGGTCATCCATTTTTGTGTAATATCAATTTCACATAACAGCCTGGTCTTTGGAGGCTAACCATGTCAGTAAGTAAGGAGAGGGATGTTATTTAAATAAATATTACAAACTTCACTTTACACTGCTGTATCTAATTTCTTTAAGTATTCTTACCTGACAAACAGTATTTTTGAAGTTACACCAATCAATTGGTTTAGTACCAGCTGCACCTCAATAGATCCAATCCATTGCCGCGATCCAACAAATGTTGCTGATTTGTCACCGGCATCAACTAGGGCCTTTATATATTTTAAAATACAAAAAAAACCACACACAAGATAGCTATTAAAAATTATGTTTAGGACATTTTTCCTAATTACCTGTATAAGAACATTTTTCCCCCCCTTCAGAACAGAAAGAAGTCTGTAATGTGAGGTAATAATAATTATTAATAATATATTAATGGCTATAAGTTCTGGTGTAGTGTTATATGATAAGCACTGGACCACAAGGCTGGTTTGAACCGCAAGGTCGCTGTGAGTCAGAATCAATTCTACAGCACTTAACAACAATGAAACGTACAACTGACTATAATTTAAAATGGATTGTGCCATACCTGCTGGATTTCTCTGTGTGTTGGAATGGATCTCTCTGTGTATCCCTGATGTCTGAACCAAGAGCAGATAGTCTGCAGAGATCGATAAGCACAGCCCCAACCATTGTCATCTATCCGATCCTGCATATAATGATGATAACCATACACGCCCTGGACCACACAGATCTATATAAAAAGAAATACAACAAAATATTAACTTTACATTAAAATAGTCTATATATGCCGAGTCCTGCTTACTGTTCTCAGTGGTAGTCTGTTACTTTAGTTCCTTAAAAATGCCTTCACATTCTTGGATCAACCATCAACACGAATAGAAGCAGCAATCAAGAAATCAAACAATGTATTGCATTAGGCAAATCTGTTGTTGCACAAGACCTTTTTCAAGTGTTGAAGAGCAAAGATGTCAGCTTGAAAACTAAGGTTCACTGGACCCAAGCCATGGTATTTTCAATAACCTCATATGCATGTGAAAGTTGGACAATGAATAAGGAAATCTGTAGAAGAACTGATGTGTTTGAGTTATAGTGCTGGAGACTACTAAGTACCAAGGACTGCCAAAGCAACAAATAGATCTGTGTTGGATGAAGTGCAGCCAGAGTGCTCCTTGGAGACCAGGATGGTCAGACTTTGCCTCTCATACTTCAGACATATTGTCAGGAGGGACCAGTCGCTGGAGAAGGATGTCATGTTTGGTAAGGTGGAGGGTCAGAGAAAAAAAGGAAGACCCCCAATGAGATGGACTGGCAAAGTGGGAGCATCAATGGGCTCAAGCATGGCAACAACTGTGAGACTGGCCCAGGACCAGGCAGTGTTTCATTCTTTTGTGTATAGGTTCGCTATGGTTCGGTACCAATTAGACGCTACCTAACAACAACAATGAAAACCAAAACTTTCACAATGACTATTGTCACTCTCATACTACAAATGTAGAAACTGAGACAGAATTTAATTGGCCCAAGAAAAGCAGCGAATTAGCAAATGAAAAAGCCATAATTCATCCTCCTTCTCCCTATTTATTATTTTTGGATGTATAACAATTTTTACTGGTGTTTATATGAGTTATCACTATAACACAAAAATAATTCAATATAGAAAAAAAATGTCTTCACAGAACTAGGGTTTGACACTACGCCTTGATGGCTTTTTATTAAAGGTCCAAGGCCCTTACCTGGCAAGACTTCTCTTAACTTCACCTCTACTAAACACCACTGTTGTTTATTTTCTTTAGGTTTCAAATATGCCAGGGGCATCTGATCTAAGAGCCTTACAGTTAATTCCCTCTGCCTGGAACACTCTTTTTCCCAAATCATTCCATCTTTATTTCACTCAGATCTCTGTTCAAATGTTAGAGCCTTTCCCTGACCATCCATCCGATCTAACAATGGCATGCTCATTCCTTCACCACCCCTAACCTGGCTGCTCTGGCTATATCACTCTCATTTTGGTTTATTATTTTTCAAAGCACGTACCTTGACACATTACATGTTATTTTAAAAATATCTGCCTACCCACAATAAGGAGCTCTGGTAGTGTTGTGGTTACGAATCGGGCTGCAAACCGCAAGGTCAGCAGTTTGAAATTACCAGCTGTTCTGCAGGAGAAAGATGAGGCGTTCTGCTCCTGTAAAGATTTACAGCCTCGGAAACCCTGTACAGGGTTGCTATGAGTCGGAACCGACTCCACGGCACACAACAACAACAATAGTATGTGATCTCAATGAAGGCATGCGCTTCGCTCTATTCATTTCTAGACCCACACAGGGACCAGTACACACATGACACCAAATAAATGTTGGATGAGTGACGAATGAGTAAAAGAATGAACAAACTAATAAATAAAGGGTTTAGAATGGGACAAAGGCTTAGTGATCTACTTTAAAAGATCAGCCAATAAAAATGGCATGATTGACAACCCATCATAGTGTAGCATTTCATTCCACTGTGCCTAAGATAACCATGAGTGAGGGACCGGCTCAACAGCAGTCAACAAAAATAACTACAGCAATATACAGTGGGATATATGGGGAATGCTGCTGGAATTCTGTGTACCTGCCATTGATTATGGCCCAGGTATATTACTTAATGACCTATACAAAGGCCATCATTATTTATATAAATTCTTTAGTATAATGTTAAGAAAACATTTCTTCTTTTTTTTTTTTAAAAGCTAGTGATACCATTTTTTTTTTTTTTAAAGAATTAGGTTAGAAAAATCATGGATGAATATAGAACTTTTACCCAAAAATTAGAGAATATATATATTTTTAAAGCACAGACAACATTTATGACTACCTAATTTTAACCCTTGGAACCTGTGAATGTATTAACTGCAGATGTGATTAACTGATGTTAAAAGGGGAAGATTATCTTGGATTATCAAGTGGGTCTGAATGCAACTGTATATTTTCTAATAAAAGAGAGGCAGAGGGAGGCTGCACAGAGAGAATAAAGGAAGTCATGTGACTGCGGAGGCAGAGATTAGGCTGATTTGGCCACAATCACGGAATGCCAGGAGATGACCAATCAAGTTCTCTCTCTCTGGGGAATTTGAATTGAGAGGTGGCATGGACCAGGCAGTAGGGAGTAGGAAATGATGCTGAAATAGTGCATATAATGAGCAGCTATAAAGAAGAGAGAGCTGTGACTCTGTAGGATAAGTGCTGGTCTCCGAAGCACCAGATCTGCAGTTTGAGCCCACCAGCTACTCTGCTGGAGAAAGATGTGGTTTTCTGCTCTTGCAAAGATTTACATTCTTGGAACCTTTGTATAGGATTGCTATGAGTCGGAATCAACTCTATGACACTTTACGACAATAATAACCATGAGGAAGAGTAGGAAACAGTTATATACAAACTGAAAAAATAATGAAACAGAGACAGCACAAGGCTGAGACTAGCCAGAGAGAGTAAAGGGAAGCAACAGCCCAGTAGGACCCAAAGCATATGTATATTAGAAAGCATAAATGCTACTCAGGAGTCCATGTAACTCTTGAGAGACTGGAAGACTGAGATGGCTGCCAGACCAAGGGCTGCTTTGGTTTCTCTGAGGCCCAACTATACAACTTAGATACCTATGAGATCATGGCTTTCAGGTATCCTTAAAATAACCCTACCCACACTTTTCATCAATCTACTTTTAATATTGTGGGGATTAATGAATGACAGACATTATGAAACAATCCTGAAAACTTCTATTGGGTACCAACAAAAGACAACTGATGGTATTATTCACTATCAATTGACTCCCATAAGTCATTCGTTAAACTCACCATACCAGACTCTATATTAGGAGGATTCAGAAAAGTATGTGGATTTCTAATGTAACCATCCTTGTACGGTTCATCTGGAAAGTGATAAGCATTAGACCTTTTGAAATAAGGTCTGTCATGAGGCAGATTGCAGAGATCGTGTAACTCCTAAAATAAAATCAGAATTAATGGGAGAGAAAATAAGTTAATGCTTTATATTCTTAGTCAATAAATAAACTCAAAGAAAATATGAAACAGAAAATTAACTATATATTGGTTATAAGAGTTTTCAAACACACTTATGATTTAAGGTAAAAGAAAGTGAGACTTGAACTAAAACAAAATTTAATTTTCTTGATATATGTAAATAAGCAGAAACCGGAAGAGAACATAGAATAATGAAAATAATTTATTTGCTAGAGAGAATATTGTTGTTGTTGTTAAATGCTGTCAAGTCAGTTCCAACTCATAGTGACACTGTATACGGTTTCCAAGGAGCCGCTGGTGAGTTTGAACTGCTGACCTTGTGGTTAGCAGTCCACTGCTTATCCTACAGCGCTACAATTTAAAATTTATTCTAATAGAGTCTGTCAAAATACATTCATACTAAACAATGATTTTGGGAAGTCTTTTAGATGAATACATTATAAGTAACAATGATATAAGAATTATATTCCATTATGGGTATACCTCATTTTATTGCATTTTGCTTTATTGTGTTCCATCGACATTGTGTTTTTTATAAATTGAAGGTGTTTGACAACCAACCCTGTGTCAAGCAAGTCTATTGGTGCCATTATTCCAATAGCATGTCTCTGTGCCACATTTTAGTAATTTTTACAATAATTCAAACAGTTTCATAATGCACTGAATACACTATAATATAGTGTAAATAGAACTTTTATATGCACAGGGAATCAAAACATTGTGTGACTCTCTTTAATGCAGTACCCTGTTGCAGAGGTCTGGAACTGAAACTTCTAAAACCTCTGAGGCATGTCTGTACTTTGAAAAATATGTTTAAAGTATTTTACAAATCTAAAGGCTCTGTAGGATTAGCACTGGACTGCAAGGTTGGTTTGAACCACTCTGAGGTTTAAACATCATCAGTCAGTCACTCCTTGGCAACCCTATACAGGGTTGCTATATGTCAGAACTGACTCGACAGCACGTAACAACAACAAATCTAAAGGACAGTGATTAAATTACCAAGTAGAAGTTAGTGGTAGGTAGTGCAGTGGATTGCAAGTTGGGCTGCTAACTTCAGGGTCAACAGTTTGAAACTACCAGCCGCTCCTTGGGAGAAAGATGTTCCATAAAGATTTACAGCCACGGAAACCCTACACAGGGTCGCTATGAGTCAGAACTGACTTGACGGCATATAACAACATGACATGAAAACACAAACACACATACATGGCTGAAATGTGATTATTTTCCCAATTGTATAAAAATATGTTTGACAGTTTCTGTCATATCTCCTACATATCCTCATAGTTGGAATAGGTACATCACCTCATGTAGCACTTAGAAAAAGGCACAGAGGATTAAAAGGTTACACCTCTTCTTAGGGAGAACCCCATTACATAATGTGATAGATGCCAGACAAGGCCATATATCCAAAATATGTACCCCCAAGCTAGTCATTTTGCCAATACATTCATTTTTTTGACTGCTGATAATATTTTCTCCAAAACTCCTTTAAGAAACCCTCCAATTCTATTCCAAATTATTTTAAATTCTGATCTTCCTCACCCAACCGTAATCTTGTCTCTTTCACAAATCTGGATGTAACAGAAGGGTAAAGGAAGGTGTTAACAATCATCAGCACGTATACACCTTTTCATTTATATACAACGGGGTTTCAAAAAATTAGTGGAAAATTTGAATGAAAAGACAATAGATTTTTTTCCAGGAACTTTTTAAAGCTTCCTCCTATTTCATTACAGAAAATATATGAAAAATTTAAAGAACATACGGACTACATTGGGAATATAGAATTGAAATGAAACATGGGTTAAGAATATTCTTAAAAAATTAGTAATACTTTAAAAAAGAAATTCATTGAGAAGTGAAATTAAATAACCTAGTATACTATGGAGTTCTGGTAGCGTAGTGGTTACGAGTCGGGCTACTAACCTCAAGGTCGGCAGTTTGAAACTACCAGCTGTTCTGTGGGAGAAAGATGAAGCTTTCTGCTCCCATAAAGATTCACAGCCTCGGAAACCCTGTGCAGGGTTGCTATGAGTTGGAATGGACTCCACAGCATACTACCAACCAACCAGTATGTAAAACTAATAGTCTTCTTCAGTAGTTTTAAAATTAATTACAAAATCACCTTTATTTTTTATAACTATCTAATTAGACACAAAATGAATGATGGTCACTACCCTTTTTCCCAGAATAAATGAATTGGTTTTACCTTTCGATAGGCCTGCAACTGATCGTCCGGAATTCCTGATGGATATGAAATTGTTATGAGACTCTTTTCTCCTGGTAATAAAAAGTGCAGTGGTTCAGGTACCAGGATAGATGTTCCTTTCATATATTTTAAAATGCATTTTTCCATATCAGTTAGTTGACTATGAATTGCATCAACTAGAAGTTTACGAACTCTGTGAGGGGGAAAATATATAAGCACATACACAAAAGTTATAGTGGCAACAACAAAACTGTAGAACTAACAGATTCCTAATACAATAAAAAACTTGATTAGCCCAATTTATTCAAGGACATCTGAATTATGAATTAAGCAAAGTAAAATAAACTGTATATTTGCTACCTCTGGATTAAGTGAAACCTCAACTTCCTCTAAATGAACACTTGCTTAGTTTAATAATTAACAAAATAATCACAGTAAAAATTACAATAGTAACAAATCAGATGTCTCTATGATAGTTAAACATGGTCTTGATTACTCTGGGGACGGGTCCTCATTTAGATTAAATATCTATAGTGGCAGTAGTACTATAAGACTTACTTTCCCCACATTTCTTGTGGAGCAACAGATAAAACTGCATCAACCGGTAAAGTCATGTTAACATAGTGGTGCCCACTGCTTTCTCTCTCAATGATGGGGCTTAGGGCATTCAGAGGAGTTGTTGACAGTTCCAGCATGAGATCTATATTTATCACCTGATGCTGTATAGAGAAATGGCAATAGACAACTTGTAGTTCAATGGGTATTAAAAGTAGAGAATATAAAAGGACTTTTAAAGGACAAAATACAATCTACATTAAATTGCTTAAAGACATAAATCTTTTCTTAAAATTCCTCTCTGCTTCAAAATAATCTGGAGAGTGTGAGGGTGAATAAAGACAAAATAAGGCTGGCCATGTGTTGATAAATACTGAAGCTAGGTATAGGTTCATCAAGATTCCTTTCACAATTTTCTCCACTTTAATATAGAATAATAAAATAAATAAATGAACAACATAAAATATCTGTATACAGAAGCAGGGGTGCGAAGAAGTGCAAAGAACTTTTAAATGACATTTTTCCGGTCTAAAGACATAAAGAACTATAAATAAAATTTTAACTCTACTTAGTATGTCTGATTTTTATAGTAGAATGAATCAACAATACAGTCTTTGTATTAAATGACAGAACAAATTTAGGAAAATACTGAGCATACTGGGAGCCAGCTTTCTCATGGAAAAAAAGGTTAAGAAAGCTGTGAGGTTGAATTGGAAATGCAGTTCTCAATATTGTTTACAGAGATAAACTTGAATATATGTATTAGCTGTATGTGTGTACACTACGCATGTGTGTGAATGTATGTGTTGTTGTTGTTAAGGATCACTGAGTTAGTTCCAATTCATAGTGACCATATATAGGGTTTCTGAGGCTGCAAAGCTTCATGGAAGCAGAAAGCCTCATCTTCCTCACAGAGCCACTGGTGGGTTTGACTGATGATGTGGGGGTTTGCAGTCCAGTGCTTATCCTACAGGGCCACCAGTGCTCCTATGCTAGGAATTAGTGAGCTGAAATGAACTGGTATTGGCCAGTTTGAATCTGACAATCATATGGTTTACTATGCCATGAACAACAAACTGAAGAATGGTGCATTTATCCTCAAAAATAATAATTCAAGATCTCTCTTGAAATACAATGCTGTTTGTGACAGGATAATATCTATATGACAACAAAGAAGAACAGTTAACACAATTATTATTCAAACTTATGTACCAACCACCATAGCTGTAGCCACTACTGAAGAAACTAAAGAATTCTACCAACTTCTTCATTCTTAAATTGATCAAACAATCAAGATGCATTGATAATTACTAGTGATTGGAATGTGAAAGTTGAAAACAAAGAAGAGACACCAGCAGTTGCAAAACATGGCCTTAGTGATAGACAAGAACTTGGAAATTCCATGATAAATTTTTACCAGACCAACGACTTTTTCATTGCAAAGATCTTTTTTCAACAACATAAATAGCAACTACATGGACTTCACAAAATGGAATACACGGAATGAATCTGACTACATCTGTACAAAGAGATGACGGAAAAGCTCAATATCATCAGACAAAATATGGCCGGGGCCAACTGTGGAACAGGCCATTTACCTGCTCATACACAAGTCTGGGTGGAAGCATAGAAAATTAAGACAAGTCCACAAGAGTCAAAATACAACTTTGAATATATCCCACCTGAATCTAGAGACAATCTCAAGAACAGATTTGATGCACTGAACATTAATGAGCAAAGACTAGAAGAATTGTGGGATGATATCAAGAACAACATGTATAAAGCAACAGGTCATTAAAAAGACAGGAAAGAAAGAAAAGACCAAAGTGTATGTCAGAAGAAACTCTGAAAGTTGCTCTTGAACACAGAGCAGCTAAAGGAAATGGGAAAAAAATTAAGAGCTGAGCAGAAAATTTCAAAGGGCAGTTTGAGAAGACAAAGTCAATTATGATAATGAAATGTGCAAAGACCAGGAGTTAGAAAATCAGATGGGAAAAACACATTAAGCATTTCTCATGCTGAAAGAACTGAAACTAAAATCTAAGCTTTGGGTTTCAATATTGATGGATTCTATGGCCAAAATATACAGGAAACACCAAAAGAAGATGGAAGGAATAGAGTCACTGTACCAACAAGAACTGGCCTATGTTCAACCACTAGAGAAGTAGCATATGACTTAAGAACCATGGTATTGAAGGAAGGAATTCAAGCTGCAATAAAACAAGTCTTCAGGAATTGATGGAATACCAACTGAAATTTCAACAACTGATCCATTGCTGGAAGCACTCACTAGTCTATGCCAAGAAATATGGAAGACAGCTGCCTGGCCAACCAATTGGAAAAGATCTTATTTGTGCCCATTCAAAAGAAAGATGACCCAACTGAATGTAAATTATTGAACTATATCATTAATATCACATCTAAGTAAAATTTTGCTGAAGTACTCAAAAATGGTTGCAACAATATATTTAAACGAGGTTGTCAGAAACAAGCTGAACTCAGAAGAGGACATGGAACAAAGGATATCATTGCTGACATCAGGTGTATCTTGGCTAAAAGCAGAAAACATGAGAAAGATATTACTTGTGTTTCATTGACTATGAAAAGGCTGCGTGGATAACAAACTATGGATAACATTTCAAAGAACAGGAAGTCCAAAACACTTAATTGTACTCATGAGGAACTGTACACAGACTAAGAGGAAGTCAATAGAATAGAATAAGGGACTATTGTGTGGTTTAAAATCAAGAAAGGTGTGTGTCAGGGTGGTACCCTTTCACTGTACTTATTCAATCTGTATGCTGAGCAAATTATCTGAGAAACTGGATTATATGAAGAACTTGGCATCAGGATTGGAGGAAAGATCATTAACAACCTGCAACATGCAGGTAACACAATCTTGATTGCTGAGAGTGAAAAAAAAGTTGACGCATTTGATGATGATGAAGCTCAAAGAATACAGCCTTAAGTATGGATTACAACTCAATGAAAAGAAAACAAAAATCCTCACAACTGGTCCAAGAAATAACATCATGATAAATGGAGAAAAGATTGACATTGTCAAGGATTTAATTTTACTTAGATTTACAATCAATGCTCATGGAAGCAGCAGTCAAGAAATTAAATGAAGTATTGCACTGGGCAAATCTTTAACACTCTTTCAAGTGTTAAAGAGCAAAGATGTCACTTGAGGATTAAGGTGCACCTGACACAAACTATGGTATTTTCAACCACCTCATGTGCATATGAAAGTTGGACACTGAATAAAGAAGACTGTAGAATTGATGCATTTGAATTATGGTACTGGCAAAGAAAATTTAAGTACTAAGGGCTTCCAGAAGAACAAACAATTTTGCCTTGGAAGAAGTATATCCAGAATGTTCCTTAGAAGCAGGATGGCAAGACTAAATCTCATATACTTTGGACTTATACTGTTATTAGTAGGAGCTAGTTCCTGGAAAAGGACATCAAACTTAGTAAAGTAGAGGGCTAGCATTAAAGAGGAAGAACCCTAATCAGATGGATTGACACAGTGGCTTGCAATAATGGGTTCAAATATAATAAAATACAGTGAGGAGGATGGTGGAGGGCTGGGAAGTGCTTTATCGGTTTTATATATATATATATATATATGACTTGGGACATATTCAACAGCAGCTAGCAACAAGACAAGAAGTGTACTATCAAACTAAATTGTAACAAAAATATTTAATTTTATAGAAACAACAAAAGCATCCTAAAAAAAAAAAAAACTTCCTAAGATATGTATCGTTGTTGTGTGTTGTCCAGTTAATTCTGACTCATAGGGTTTCTAAGTGAATGGTGGGTTTGAACTTGCGACTTTGAATTTACCAGTCCAGTGCTTATCCTACAGTGTCACACTAGAGCTCAGATATGTTATATAATGGGAAAATATTTAAATAATGTACAATAGCGATATAATCTTTGGAAATTCATTTAATGTTTCTGGATCTCAGTTTTCTGATCAGTAAAAACAAGAGGGGTAGTTTAAATAATTTCTAAGAACTCACTCACCTCAAAATCAAGGATTTAAAGTTTTTATCAATAGAGGACATCAGTAATTGGCTTACCATGTCTGGTAACTTTTTTTCTTTCTTCCTCATGAATTTTCGTTTTGTATCCTCTTCCTGTTCAAATCTAAAATTTTAATATACAGAAACAGTTTATGATGTGAAATGATATTCTGAGAACTTTTTCAGTCATCTTTAAACATACTCACTGAATAAAGCGCAGGATATTCTGACACGGAGAACTATCAGTCAGCTCTCCAGGAACGGTGTTCTTGTCGCTGTTAGGCCATACGTACACTGAACTATGGCAGATTCTGAACACAAGGGCATCTGAAGACAGCTTGGTTGACAAGTCACTCAACACATGGTTTAATGCTTTCTTGATAAAAATTTCTAAATTAAAAGCACATAAATGGAATTTGATAAAACTTTTCAACTGTTCAACATGAAAGCTTCTAAACATACACAAAGCAGAAAACAGTAACTTTGATTGTAAATATCCATTCCTCAGATTTAATAATTACCAAATTCTTTTTACTTTTGTATCATTAAAAAAAAAAAGAAAGAAATGTAATTCAGATGATAAAATTCATACTTTTAAAGTGTATAATTCAGTGGTTTTCAGTAGACTCACGAAGCTGTGCCAACTTCACAATTATTGTTTTATTCATTTTCCAAAGAAACCTCATGCCCAAGAGCAGTTATTTTCCAGCCCCTGCTCGGTTTGAAGGAGCTCTGGTAGCATAGTGGTTACGAATCAGGCTGCTAACTTCACAGTCAGTAGTTTGAAACTACCAGCTGCTCCGCAGGAGAAAGATGAGGCTTTCTGCTCCCGTAAAGATTAACAGCCTTGGAAACCCTGTACAGGGTCGCTATGAGTCGGGAACTGACTCTACAGCACATAACAACAACAACTCGGTTTGAACAGCAAGGTCTGAGGTTCAAGCTCACCAGCCGCTCCTCGGAAACCCTATTGAAGGTCGCCATCAATTGGAATCGACTCGATGGCACTTAATAACAACAACTCCAGCCTCTTGTTGTTGTTAAGTGCCGTGGAGCAGCTGATAGTTTCGAACTGTTGACCTTGCGGCTCGCAGCCCGATTCGTAACCGCTACGCTACCAGTTGCTCCGCGGGAGAAAGATGAGGCTTTCTGCTCCCGTAAAGATTTACAGCCTCCAAAACCCTGTACAGGGTCGCTATGAGTCGGAACCGACTCCACGGCACATTACAACAACAACAACGCTACCAGTACTCCAGCCTCTAGCAACTACCAATCTACTTCCTGTCTCTATGGATTCTGGCATTTCATACAAATGGAATCCTATAACGCGATGTTTTGTGTCTGGTTTCTTTCACTCAGCATGTTTTCAAAGTTCATTTTTGGTAGTGTTGTTGTTAAGTGCAGTGCAGTTGGTTCTGACTCATAGCAACCCTATATAGAGTTTCTGAGGAGTGGCTGGTGAGTTTGAATCGCTAACATTCAGTTTCAAACTGACCTCTGGTCCAGTGCTTACCCTATAGCACCATACCAGAACTCCCATTTATGTATTGTAGTTAAGTATCATTGAGTCAGCTCTGTATATGGTTTCTGAGGAGTGGCTGCTGAATTTGAACTGCTGACCATGTGGTTCATTACTTTTTATGGTTGAATAATATTCATCAGAGTCCTGGGGCATAGTGGTTTATAGGTTGGGGTTTTAACCTCTGGGCAGGTGGTTTGAATCCACCAGCCACTCCTCGGGAGAAAGATGAGGTGTTCTGCTTCTGTAGAGATTTACAGCCTGGAAAACCCAGGCTAAGTCGTTACGCGTTGGAACAAACTCAACTGTACACTACAATACTTGTGGCTAGAACATATTTTGTGTGCCCACTCTTCAGTTTATGCACATTTGACTTGTTTCTATTATTTCACTATAGTGAGTAATGTTGCCATAAACATTTGTGCACACGTTTTTAGTGGACATACATTTATAATTCTTTAGGGTTTATGAAAGCAAGTAAAGAAGCGTTGCTATTGGTAGTTCAGTTCATATCTTGTTATTGTTAGGTGCCGTTGAGTCAGTTCTGACTCATAGTCAGTCACGCTATGCACAAGAGAATGAAACTTTGCCTGGTCTTGTACCAACCTCACAATTGTTGTTATGCTTGAGCACACTGCTGCTGCCACTATGTCAGTCCATCTCGGTGGGGGTGTTCCTCTTTTTCACTGACCCTTAATTTTACCAAGCATGATGTCCTTCTCCAGGGATTACTCCCTCCTAATAACATGTCCAGGAGTCCTGATGTGGCGCTGTGGGTTAATGCACCGGACTGCAAAGTTGTCTGAGCTGCAACGTCAGCAGTTCAAGCTGACTAAGCTGCTCCTCGGAAACTCTATACAGGGTTGCTATGGGTCAGGACTGACTCGGCAGTTCTTAACAACAAACAACAACAACATGCCCAAAGAATGAGAGATGAAGTCTCTCCATGCTGACTTCTAAAGAGCATTCTGACTATACTTCTCCCAACACAAATATGTTTGTTCTTCTGGTAGCCCATGGCACTTATATAGCTTCTTCTCCAACACCAAAATTCAAATGCATCGATTCTCTTACCATCTTCCTTACTCACTATCTAAATTACACATGCATATGAGCTGACTGAAAATACCATGGCTTGGGTCAGACACACCTTAGTCTTTAAAACAGTATCATTGCTCTAGAACACTTTAAAAAGGTCGTTTGCAGCACATTTAAATAGCATAGTACTTTGTTTAATTTCTGGTTGGCTAGTAGTCCAGGGCTTAAACATGTATGCCATCCATGTAATACCACTTACTGTCAGGATATTAACTATTATCCTGAGATACTAAGTTTTGTAGCTCTAACTCTGACCATTCTCTCCTAAATTTCAGATTCAAATAATGAAATATTTGTTAGGAAGTTGTACTTGATATCCCATTGGTATCTCAAATGAAACATATCTCAGTACTTAAGTCTCTTATCTTCCTCCTCTGAAAATCTTTACCTCTGTTTCTGGCAGTAGCCCAAATCAGAAAAGGGAAAGAATCCTAGCATGTGCTTTATACAAACTACTGTTGATTTTTCTCCAATAGCATTGTGGTACCATGAATTTACTTGAGATGGCGTTTCTATCCAAAGTTTTATTAATTCTCACCAAATGAGTGGGCGGGGCCATGCAAATAGGGTATATAGGACTCTAACACTAGGATTGGTTAGTTTTGCCATTATGCTAAGTTTAAAGGAAACCATCTGAGAAGAAGGAACAAATGATCCCAGAACTCTCAAGAGAGGAGAGCCATGAATGGAGTGTAAGAACCCTACCTGGAAAAGTAGTGGCAGCTAGCTGAGGTGGTGGCCTGCAGAGACAGAGCAACTGTAGGTTTCCTGGCTCACAGGCTAAGTGGAACTGAGTGTCTATGGGCAGAAGGCTGGTTTTCAAAATGTGCCGTGGGCATTTACAGAATGGCTAAAGGAACTTTGTAACATTTTATCCAAGCAGGGCAGAGGCCAAGGAACCATGTGGTTGACAGGTCGTGCCTGCCCTATGGCAAAAAGGCGTTCCTGATTGGAGAACTGCTGCATCCCAAATTCTTTCTGCTCTTGATTTGTACCCTGTCCACTTTCATAATTTAAACACCATAATCCTGACTACTGTCTATGAGTTCTGTGAGGCCACTTCAACGGATTCTCAAACTCAGATAGAGGCAAAGAGTGCTGTTGGGGGGACGGCTGGCATCAGAAGCGGGAAAAGAAGGTTGTAAAATGGAAGCATGTTTGACCTCCACTTCATAAGAATTGGTTGTGGGCTGATTTTGAGTTTGATTCTCCTTCTCCTTTGTGAAGTCAGAGGAAGTCAGCCATGCCTTTCCTGTCATTTTTGCAAGCATCATGGTACTCATTATAATGTTGTTGTTGTTAAATGCAGTTGAGTCGATTCTGACTCATAGCGGCTCGTGGGTTTGAACTGCCAGCCTTGCGACCTTCAGTCTAGTGCTTATCCTACAGAGCCACAACAGGACTCCACTCATTGTAATACTCCCCGCAAATCCAAAATTTAGTATCTCAAGTCAATTCTGACTCATAGCTGCCCCATCAGGTTTCCAAGGCTGCCATGCTTTATCAATGCAGATGATCACATCTTTCTCCTGTGGAAAAGCTGGTGGATTTAAATTGCTGACCTTTCCATTAATGGCTGAGCACTTTAACCATGCGCCTTTAGGGCTCTACCCCATTGTAATACAGCATAACATTTAAGAGCGTGGGCTCTGAAGCCTCAAGAGCTGTCAAGTGCAGTTGAAAGTCAAATACAAGTCTGGATGCATCATTTGCATTATGCTCATTGTGGATATTTATAGTAATTGTGGCAATTTTCCGGGAGAGAGCTGCAAAAATTTTTTTTTTTTTTTTAAGGAAGGTGGACTTGTTTCAAATTTGCAGTATGGGCTAGTGGTGCTTCCGGACAGTTTCTAAGTTACAATTCCACTTATACCACTTACGAGCTAAATGATCTTAAATTTATTCAGTCTCATTCTGACTCCGTTTTATTTGCAAACAGGAAATGTTGTTGTTAAGTGCCATTGAGTCAGGTCTGACTCATAATGACCCTGTGTAGGGTTAAGTGGAGTTCATCATCGATTTACAATCAAAAGGGGAGTTTTTTTTCTGGCAGACCTACCATCCGCAGTAGCTAGCTGAAAAGCTAGATCAAGGCCTCCTCTTATTCTGAAGAGTATATCCATAGTGTCTGAAATCACCTAGGGCAAATAAAAATAAATTCCACAGTAAAACAAAACAAATACCTTCATGTAAGTGAAAACCTAATTAAGCTTATGTTACATCATTGATTAAGTTCTTCAAATGATTTTGTTGAGATAATCCCTTGTTTTATGGTGAAAACAACCAAAATGAAAAATCCCTAAATTCCCAATCAGGGGTTCTCAAGCTTAATTTCATATTAAATCACTTGGGAAGTTTTAAACACTGATGCATAAGCTACTGTCCCAGGTTAATTAGTCTGGGAGGGCCTAGGCAGAGATATCAAAAAGTCCTTGCATACTGGTGGTGATTCTACCATGAAAAGGTTATGGGCCACTTTAAAAAAAAAAAGTACCAATAATTTGTACACTATAGTTTTATTTTATTCCAATTATTTGTGTACTATAGTTTTAACAATGGGTTTAACAATGACATGAAAACATCACTGACAAAAAATAATTTTTTTAAGAATGCATGAATGGCACTGAACCTAATATGATAACACCTAATGTTTACCACTGGACCAATAAACAACATTCTTATCAACAGAGAAAAGACTGAAGTTGTCAAGAACTTCATTCTTCTTGGATCAACTATCAACACTCATGGAAGCAGCAGTCAAGAACTCAACGATGTATTGCAGTAGGAAAATGTGCTTCAACCTTTGTAAAGTTATGAAGAGCAAAGATGTCAGCCTGAGGACTAAGGTGTGCCTGACCCTAGCCATGGTATTTTCAATAACCTCATATGGATGCGAAAGCTGGACAATAAATAAG